TAAATTGGTAAAGAATTAAATGCTGATTTTCCATAGATAGGCTGTTTTTATTAATTTTGACACTCCATTAGTATTTTGCGATTTTCTCTATGAAAACTTTGTCAAATCGAAAAAATAAGAAGATATTCGTAATCAGCATTAAAAATTGAATCTAGAAATGTATGTCTAAAGAAAAAATGAAGAGCACTCAAATTTCGAATTAGTTGCACCTTACCACAGCCACACCCATCCACAACCACACCCATCCACAACCACACCCATCCACAACCACACCCATCCACAACCACACCCATCCACAACCACACCCATCCACAACCACACCCATCCACACCCACACCCACACTCCATCTGTATTCTGTGTAGAACTACAAGTGGTCCTAGTTTAGTATCCGCGCCCAGAACTTTATTTTTTTCTAGAGAGTGAGAAGTGCAACGAATATTTGAAGAGTGCATTCTCTACGTCATCATATAATCGTTACGTTTTCTCGTGATATGAAGATAAAAGCGTCATAGCCATTTAAACGTCTGCAGCCCTCTTAAACAGAAAATACAACTTAAAACGCATGCTGTGTCTACAATATTTTTTCTGCGTGTTCTTCCAGATGATAAGGGAGGGTATAGATATAGCAAAAAAAAAGATAGCTATACCACTACACATAATTTGTTTGCTCCTCTTTTTGTCATTCAGCGAGACGCGATGACGATGATCTATATGCATGCGGTACTGTGTATGGGTGGTGTGTGCGTGTGGATGGGTGGGTATGTGGATGTGGGCATGGTTGTGAGTGGTGTGTGGGGGTGGGGGTTTGGGTGTGGATGGATGTGAGTGTGGGTGGGTGTGGTTGCACAGGTGGATGTGGGTGTAGGGTTGTGGGTGTGGTATTCTCAAAAAAGCATACCCACAGTCGCACCAATAGCCATAGCGACACAGCCCATACCCACTCCCACATACCTACATCCACACCTACTTCCATACGCACACACACTCAAATCCATTCACCCGCACTCACACTCCATACACCCACAACACAACCCCACATACACACTCACACCCCGCACTCACACCCACACCCACAACCACATCCGCACCCCACACCCTCACACCCATCTCTGCTCTCGCACCCTTACCCTCAAGAAAACGATAACCTCTGTTAAACTAAAATGACAAACTCTACGTGATAATTACTCTATGGTAACATGATAAATTTCCGACAAACAAGTCAATAAATGAAGTCTGACATTGAACTATGAATGCAACACCACATATAAACAGGATTTTTTTCTTTTTTCTTGTTCATTTTATTTGGTTTATGTTCGTATTAAAGCCCCACGAACGCAAGTTATTGATAGCCGTCTGGCTGATAGGACTGACCTTTCTTGGGGTGCTAGTGCATGGCCAATATTTGCAACAATCGTTAGTGATTGGAGCACCATATCGTGACTGCTTTTTGTCACCGATTTACGAACACCAAATTTTTTCTAGTTGGCCATATGATCACATTTACTATTGTTATCGGTTACCATCGTCAGTTTCTTTCAAAAGAAGAACATGTTTTTCTGGTAAAAAGTGGACGTTTGATCAATTACGGAGAAACTCGACGTCGTTTAGAACACTGTTGGAGTGGAACGTTCCGATTGATTTAGTGAGTATCTATGCTCGATACTTGAATAATAATGAATCAAGAGAAAGCGAAGATTTTATATGTCGTTGCACAACCAAAAACACATTTGGACGTTTTTGTGAATATATCTATGGACAAAAACCAGGCAATACCTACAAGACATTTTACGAATTATTTGAAGAGAGTCTTTCAAAACGACTCGATGACGGTGTATTGACTTATAATCCAATAAGACAACGAGAGTGTTATTCACTTCGACGTACATGCAGTGCGCTATGTCTTGATTGGCGTGATTTATGCGACGGAGAGTGGGATTGTGCTGCAGGAGAAGATGAGATGTATTGTGAACACCTAGACTTGAACGAGTGTAATGAAAACCAATTTCGCTGTCGCAATGGATTATGTATTCCAATTGAATGGTTCATGGATTCAAGATTAGATTGTGTCGATGCCACCGACGAGCAACGTAAGCAAAGCGATGATCATGATGCGTGCTACAGCATGTCATCAATCGACTGTTCCGAGGTTGCATGTGGCGAAAAACAAGCATATTCATGTGGAGATGGACAATGCCTTTCATGGCATGAACGTTTTTACAAAGATCGTACGCCGTTTTGTAAAAATGGACTTGGCTTTTTCGGTATATGTGAATCAATAGGCTTTGTTACGACAGCCACAGGCGGTTGCTCTAGTGGGTTCTTCGTTACGGTAACTAACATGTCGGTACCATGCGATCAACTGGTACGATGTGCTGCGGTGGCTGATCGTAGGTAAAGTCAGCAATTTCGAATAAGTATTTTCCTTTCATGGCTGTTTGATGCAAAGAAATTTCAGATGATAATTTTCTACTTGGTTTTTATTATTTTCAAATTACTCCTATTGCGTGACGCCCATCTAAAGAAAATATCTCTGGAAAAAAATCAATGCTTGAGTTATATCTAACTAATTTTAGTTCTCTAGTCCAATAAAAAACTATATTCTTGATTATTGAACATATTTATAGCTAAAATTTTTCTCTTATATTCATAGTTGTACAAGCAATGACGTTGAAAATCTACAACAACATGTACTTGATTATTGCTTTCTGAATATGACACATGGTTATTTGTATTCATTGCCTAATATTTTATCTCCATTTGTCGATGCTTACTTTACACGCGAACAATTTGAGTCCGATGACGAAGACGCTACGCGTCTACCTGCTCTTTTCTGTTCTTCCGATAAAGCAAAGTGTTTGCATTTTCATGATGTTTATAATGAGAAATATCCATTTCCTCCATTTGAGTATCTGTTTGGGCAACAACAATCCTTACCTGATTACTGTCTTAATTCCAATGCCTTTTATATTTGCCCAAATACGCACAAATGTATATCGAACTATCGATTACTCGACGGATTCGATGATTGTATCGATCGGTCGGATGAAAATCCTAATTTACAGCGACAACTCAATTCTAAATTCACTCGACATCGATATAGATGTGCAATACAAAATGATGAAACAATATTACCGCATCTTTTAGGTAAGATGATAGTTAACAATCAGGTAGAACGTACACACCTACTCGACTTTCAACGATATATTCCGTTAGGATGTGTTCCAGTTGATCATCTAAATGCACACTGAGAGATATTCTTGAGGCAACGATTAAAGTAATTTCAGTTTGTGTAACATAGTCCACAAATTTCTATGAAATCCATAATTGACTCGCTGTTCCGTAGTCGGAAATATACTAGGAGGATTGCATTTAGCAGAAAGACATTTTTTTCTTATACAAAAATCATTTTAATTATATTTCCTGCGAAAAATAATTTTCTGAATAAGATAGGTAGCAATAAAAGTGAGTTCTGAATCTAGATAAAGTTCCTCGATCAATCCGAAGCCAATGTCAAGTATGTTGTCGCTTGAAAAACGATGATATTTCATTACATGCATAGCTATAGCCAATGCTATTGTTACACCATATTTCATAAGGTGACAGACGATTACAATAGTCTCTAACAAATAGATGATTTTTGAAATCATCAGAATAATTGATAAGAAAAGCATCATATTATATAGGTGATGGTAACAATGACTGCTCGGATGGCAGTGATGAGTTCGAGTTCACCTCGGATCGCATTATCAACTGGCGCGAGGAAGATTGCCTTAATCTTGATGATACCATTTGTCGACTGATACGAGGTGATGCAATATTATATGTTGATATATACATGACAGACTTGTGTGATTCAGAGTTCGATTTACAGCATTCACTCGATGAAGTTGACTGCGGTCCTGAATGGATTTGTCCGAAAGATTGGAAGAAAGGTCGAAGTCAAACATCGGGTTCTTGTCTTCACCAAAGCCGATTTCAAGATGGCAAATATGATTTCTTGGACGGAAGTGATGAATTGCATGATGATGCACCGTGTATTCATGGACCACATCCATGGCTGAAGTGTGGAAGCAATTATAGTAGTGAAATCATGTGCGAACAATTTGGTGACGGCAATATAAACTGTATTGGTGCGCTTGACGAGCAGCAAAGATTGACATGTGGCCAAAGTGGTGCACTTAACAATCGGTTTTATTGTCGAAGTGATAGTCGTTGCTTGCTGATCTCCTATATTTGTAACGGTGTTCTTGATTGCTCTGACGGAGAGGACGAGAATGAGTTGCTATGTGGTCCTCGCGGGGGTTGTCACAATGAATCATTTGCGTGTCTTGATAGAGCTGTCAACGGCAAGTGTATTTCTTCGGAACGTGTCTGTGATGGAAAAAAGAACTGCCCAAATGGACGCGATGAAGAAACTTTGTGCTGGTGGCGAGTAAAACATCCGAAAAGTCGTAAGAATGAATCTATCTCTGGTAAGACTCATTTCAAGAACGATTGCATGTAATTCAGTCGCATATTCTTGATATATAGCAAGATGTATTAAGATATTTTATCGAGTTCACCGAAAATCGACTTGTTTGACAAGATCGTCACAGCCAACTTTTAGCTTGTCCGAAATCCATTAGATTTGGTACGAGGAGATAGATATCTATGGATGAAATATTTAAGTATTAGTAGCCATCTTTCGTAAGTTAGTTGACATAATGTCCACGACTGTAGACAGATCTGTAAATATGAAGTAGAAAATTTAGTGTTCGTGCTTGTAACATATTGCAAATCTATGCACTGGGTATTTCCATGGGTATTCAACCATAAAAACACGAAGATCTCAGAAAATGTTTTGATGTATCACAGTTTGTAGAGCTTTTTTCGCTGATCATTTTGGTAAAAAANGACTCTAATACCCCCTGAAAAGTACTTCAGGGGTACATAGAATCATTTTCTAAGTACCTCGGGAGTGCACAGAATCCTCTTCTAAGTACCCCAAGGATACATCGAACCTTCTCATAAGTACCTCAGGAGTACATAGGCCCTCTCGTAAATACCTCAGAGGTGCATAGGATCCTCTTCTAAGTACCCCTGTGGTCTAGGACTCACTCCTATGTGTTCCAAGGTTAGTTAAATACCTACTTGTGAGAATTCAGTGGCACGTAATACCGTCCCTTAAGTATCCCAGAGGTACATGGAACCTTGTTCTCATTATCCGAAGGATAGGGTGGGTCTTCTCACAAGTAACACAGCCACATCTTTTGGCAATGCGCGTGTTCGGAGATGTAGTTAGGATTCACTTGTAGGCACCGCGAGTTACTTTACCTTTAGTCGAAGGTATTCTCTGGTGCTCGATGCTTCGTGGTTAGTACGACAGGAGCACCAAATATGGCATTTGCGTTATGCAAATATGCATGGAATCTTTCGATAAATATTACATTAATGCGTGATGCTTATTAGCAGGTGGCCATCATGTGGTAGCACTTGTCCATCAGTGTCAAAAAGTGGCGCAGAGGTGAATACGTATTATTGAAGCACTTAGTGTGGGTTCGTTTATAGTTCACTGTGAAAAGATGTTGGTTTGTTCGGTTATGAATGATTATGGAAGCGTTAAATGCGATGTACGGCTTTCATGGTTTCTTGTGAAAGCATACGATTTATATGGAATTTTCAGAAGCTGAAGCTGTGTTCTTGAAAATTGTAGAAAAAAATACAGGTATAGGCGAGAAAGTCAGCCATGGTTGTGCTTACTGCTAGGGAACGTTTCTGGAGAATGCGAGATAGTGTCCTGCAGGAATGATTTTTTCCCGAATTTTCACGTCCCGTTTCCCGCGGGAATCAGGAACGAGAACCATTCCAAAAATCGACGTTCCCGAAAATTTCTTTTGTCCTGCTTTTATGTGCATTGAAAATACTTTTTTCAATCAAAACTTCTTTCAATTCTTACTACATATATAGTTAAGAAAGTAATAACCAATAGGTAACCACAAAAGGTGAGACAAATTCTGTTTATCTTCCGTTAAAGACAATTTTTCTGAAGCACACAACAATATCTTCAAGTCTTTATACAGTTTCTAAATGGCTTGCGAGAACGGGAACGGAATGGGAAACCGGAATGATAAAAGTTGTTTACGCAGGACTCTAATACGAGAACTAACCATTTTTTCTGCGAAATGTAAAAGACTGCCGCTTTTTATGTGTGTCAGTTTAAGGATTTGTTATATAATTTAAGTAAAAAGAAGGCCGAGGAACATAAAATATTAATAGTTTCGTGCGAGAAGCGTGTAACGCTTTTTTCAGTCTGCAACAAGGAGTAGATACCGTGTAAGATGCGCCAAACTGGAGGAGAGAGGTGTCGTTGGCAAATACCTAAGTAGGAAAACCGGAAAATAAGTGTTGCCTCTACGACACTCTTGAGGATTCCGCGCATTGTACATTGAACGGGAGAGTAGGGAGCGGAACCATCCATAGTTCTGTAAAGAAATCGCTAAACCATTACTGACTTTACGAAACTGTAAATGGTTCCTGAGAAAATGTCCGGAACTAATAGAAGAGCAATTAGCTGACAATAGGTTTTTTTATGAAAATTACAAAACCATCACATACTTTACGGATCTATGCATGGCTGCGTACGAAGAGTACCAAGCCTGTAGATTGACTAAGAAACCATGAATGGTTTCGTTAGCATAGTGCAGAACTTTGGGAGTACCTCTCAATTCATCAATGGTTTAATACAAGTTGTTCAGAACTATGTGAAGTTCAGTTTGGGACCTACGAAACCAAAAATGAATTTGGGCAAGTCAATAATAGCTTGATGCAAGAGTAGCGAAACCATACGGATTCTGCTGAACTTAAAATAGATCTGTACTAATAGTGATGAACCATTTTTATTCTCTCAAACTTAAAATCGTTCGGTAGAGAACTTTGAAATCTTTAGGATTCTGTCTGGTACCTATTTTTTTAGAGTGCAATGAACTCTCGAGCAACAATGCTGATTTAGATTATATTTGTTTTATAAAACTGAAGGTATTGCTGTAAGTGGCTACATGTTTAGTTTAGTTAAAACCTTTGGATATTTCGTATGATAATAAAACTAGACAATAGACGAATTTTTATTTCCGAAATAGTTATTGAATATTCTTAAAAAAAATAATACTATACAAGTCAAATACCTAGTAGAACATTATTAATTCGACACGAAAAGTTATGTATTATCCGCAATGAAAGGCTTTCTAATTGTTTAGCAGGATCTATCTGATGGTAATAATTCGATGTAAAGAATATTTTTTCAGAATTGAAAGACTTTTCATGAATGAAAATATTTCTAGTTGTGGAAATCATGGTCAATGCTATCCTGTCGAAAATGATGTCACAAAAATTCATTGTGAATGTGATTCCGGTTGGTATGGACAATTTTGTGATAGACAAGTTGATCTTGAGCACCCATGTCGTTCGAATACAACATGCGCGATAAATAGTATTTGTATGTTGGCATTCTATGACAATAATAAATATCAGTATTATCAATGCTTATGTCCCGCTAATCACTATGGTCTTACGTGCCATTTAACACATGTTGATCGAAATAGGTGTGATGGAATATGCGAGCATGGAGCCACTTGCGTGACTTGGGTGAACACAGATTTTGAAGAAGTATTTTCCTGCTTGTGTACACCGGGTTTCTTTGGTGAATACTGTGAACAAAAGAGTTCATCAATAGACCTACCAATGAACATCGAAACTCATCATGTAGATGATGATGGATCAGTAAGCATAATTCAATGGCTTGGTATAGAGCATCGACCCTCATTATATGTCATCGATCAAGAAATTGTAAGAACAACGAAAGTTTTCTATGATTCGCATCAATTACCTCCAATAGTTTTGCTTAAAACATATACAAGAGGAGCCGAAAGCGAGATTTACATTATTTATTTTAATCAGACTGGTGTATCTAATTTAACTGTAACTAAACTTTCTCGTTGTGCTCGAACGCGTGAATACAACTTGCCTACTTATTCATCAGCGAATTCGACATTGACGGCCCTGAAATTGTATCATAGACCATGTCGACAATCGACCTCAACAACATGTTTCTATGATAGTCTGCTATATTTTTGTATTTGTGATCAGGACTTTGGACGAACTGATGAATGTTATCTATACGGGTTTCATGCTGACAAATGTAAACAGTCAAGTGACGTTTGTCTGAATGGTGCAGCTTGCTATATTGGTTCTGCAAGGGATTTCGTTTGTCTCTGTCCACAATGTTACCTAGGCAGACATTGTCAATATGGTATAGGTCATTTCGGCTTTAATCTTGATACTCTATTACTTGCTAAAACAGATACTGAAGTAGAATCAACGAACGGTAAGTTCGTAGTATTGCAGTTTTGATTTGTAAAAAACCTTTCAAGCAATTTGCTGTAGCTGTAGTTTCTATCGCATCCAGAAAATATATTCGTGTTGATTTAGATTTATTGTTTTATAGAAATGTTTAGAAAATATTTAATATAAATAGATATAAAAACTGCTCCTAGTTGCCAAGAAGACTAAAAAATCTTTGATGTAAGAGATACTAAATTAGGTATATCATCATTCAAATGTATGCTATCGATATCAATGGACTCTATCTACGGTATCTATTTTTCAAATGTGAAATTTTAATAATTAAACATGCAAAAAAAAACAATATTTTAGATAGGCATTTGGAAAATTATTTAAATAAAAGAAAAAGAAACATTTGAAAATAAATTTCTTATTTTGACTGTGCTTTTCTTCTGAAGACCACTTTCTAACTAGAAGGACATTTTGGCTATATATTCGGATCGAATATCTATAATCGACGATACCAGTAACATGAGAACAAAAGTCTAGCATAAATGCTGATCTAGTGTGTTAGATGTGTCTGAATTTGAAACTGCAGTGTTTTTTTCTGATGAATCTCCATTCTGTTTAAGTTCAAGAAAAAGGATACAAACAATATTGTAAAACTTTTGCATGCTGTATTTATTCACTTTTTGTCTATATACAAAACAGTGCATTATATTTTTTTTTAGAAACGATCAACTCACTCGCATTATTGATCTTAAGCACTTGTATGTTTGTTACTGGATTAGTAAGTAATGTTTGTGCCTATGTGACTCTGTCGCAAAAATCGATCCGTCGGTCTACAATTGTTTCGTTTCTGAAACTTATTTGTTTCACAAGTCAATTGTCTCTTATCGTTCTCTTCTGGTATGTTATCTTTTTATTTCTTATTCAACGACAATTCATTGAGACAAGTTTGCTACTTTGTAAGTCAAGTGGATTTCTCGAAAAAACTCTATCAACATGTAGTCGTTGGACAATTGGCATTGTATCAGTTATGCGTGTACTTCAACTTCGAAAAATGGATAATCAAACGCATGCTGTACAGCAGAGAAGTGACCTAGTCTGTATTGGATTGATGTTATTCATGGTGGTGACAGTTGGTTCTAGTAGAATACCACATATTCTATTTCATCGAATAATTAATGATCCTTTGAACGAAGATCAACTTATTTGTGTACTCGAGTTACCGGCAACATGGAAAGCGTTTGACACTGTCTTCATGTTCATTCATCACATTGTACCATTAACATTGAATGGTTATGCAACTGGATTCGTTATATGGATTTCGGCTCGAAGTAAATCCCGATTAGCTCAAGAATCTCTTTATCGCTCATTGTACAGACACATCCAAGCTCGGAAAGAGCAACTCATGTGTCCTCTCTTGATAGTTTTCTGTACTTTTCCTCAATTAACTTTTAGTCTGACAATCAAATGCTACCAGTGGCAAAATCTCAACCTTCGTCGAATAGCCCTTACTCTCTATATGTTGACTTATGTACCGCAGGTGTTAACTTTCTATTTGTTTATCATGTCGTCAAAGCAGTATCGAAACACTTTCAAGCAATTAGTGATCGATCGGCGATCTGGTTTACTACGAAGAATATTTTCATAACAAAACAGAAAGCATTACAGTTTGGTTCTATGATCCTTATAGACTTCATTTAATTATTCGCTCTTTCTGTCAGAAGATGTACAGCAATATACTAATGAGAACATTTGACGTTAGAAATCGACATTTTTGCGTCTCATTTCAGCTTTGTCATTATAGTTTTCGAGGATGTAGGTGTGAGACAGCATTCAGTCAAAAAGTAGACCTTCACCCGGGGTGTGGGTGTGGGTGTGGGTGTGGGTGTGGGTGTGGGTGTGGGGTGTGGGTGTGGGGTGTGGGTGTGGGTGTGGGTGTGGGTGTGGGTGTGGGGTGTGGGTGTGGGTGTGGGTATTTAAGTCCTTTTCTTAGATACTCACTCGTACCCACCCCCACACTCATCCCCACCCCCACCCACACCCTTCAATTCTTGACAAGACTATTGAGTTTGTTTTCCGGAGAGATTTTTAATGTAGAGATAAACTTTATGAGATTAAAACTA